TGAATTCTCAATCTTCACACGAAGAATTCAGTGACTGGCCTGTTGTTGCGGAGGAATGACAGATAGACGATGAGGTGTTTTTCGCGTCGACGGTCCGTGCTCTCGTCCAACTGAATGCCCAGGTAAGGACTCTCCCGGATGTGCTTCATCTGTTGAGCACGAAGGTAGACGACGAGTGTCTCTACCAACTGCGCGAACCCGTACCTGCAACGATCAGAAACAACCTTCTTAGAAACAAGCGGGTTTTAACAAGCGGGTCCCCCAAAGCATACCAACACTTACTCGCTGTAAGCTGTGCCGGAATCCTTCAGGGGCATGTCCGGCGTGCCCACTTCTGCCATGAACTGGACCAGCGACACAAATAGCACAATGGGTGAGTCACTTCTGCAAATGAAAATAACTGTTGCCAACAGTTTTGCCAAACGGTTGGCTTCCGCATCACCGTTTTCGAAGTCGGCAATAGTCTTCTGAGCCGCATTCTTGCCGTCTCGTAGCTGTTGTCGGTCCACTGCCGCCTCATGCTTGATCGAATGTTGGTGCTTCCGCATCGTCTGTCGTTGAATGTCGAGCCCACCCTCCCCGTCGCGGCCGTACTGGTAGCTGGGGTCACCGTGCACCATGCAGATTGAGCACCTCATACAGGGTTGACCCCATGAGGTCTGCGAGATGATGAGCCACGGGAAGTGCTTGAGCCATTTCTCCTTCGCCTTCTCCTGCCACTGCTCGACGGTCAGGACGTGGGGGTACTTGTCGTCCTTGTCGGCGGCGGCGGGTTTTGATGGGCCTGGACGAGGTGTGAAGCGGGGGACGGTAGATGGGGCAACACCTGGAGTGGGACGGGCAAAACTGAGAACACGCTGTTTGAAATTGCCGTTCCCAACTCTAACGCGAGAAAAAGAGATTGCAGGTGCGGTGGTAGCCACAGATGCCGAAACGGGCGGGGGCGACGACTCAGCTTCAGCCGTGCTAGGCTGGGTCGAGGTCTCTGCCGCATCTGACGTGGATGGCGAGGGGATAATAGGCTCGTTGTTGCAGGACGAAATGACATTGGGGGGAGGAATTACAGGCGGAGGAGTCCCAACTGCGGCAGTTGTGGTTACTGGAATTGCGGCGGAAGCTTTCCGCGTTAAGAAATCTAACGCGGATACCAGGGGCGCCTCTGGTACCGCGGGTGAATCACGCTTGAGGCGGGTGCGCCATGTTCGGCTAGCATGGTGTGGTGTGGTGAGACACATGAGGACAGGACGGGACGAATTGAAACGGAGAGAGAGCAAGGATGGTCAAAGAAAGGCTTGGAGAAGAAAGGATGGGTGGTAAGGACTGTCCTGTCACGAACCGCGCCTCTCTGACGAGGGTCTCACGAAAGTGCAATGGCAGCCCATGCATGCCTTGTTTGCTGTACACCGATTGTCCTTGCACTCTGCCAGCGAGGGAGGGGGAAACGGCCTGGCAGCGGCGCCGACAACAGCTACCCGACAGATGCGTGGCAGCAACTGAGTCAGATGCGAAGTGCGCTGGCAGGAAAAATCCAAAACATTTTGTGCCTGAAACCTAGACCAACAGACTAATTTAGTCTGCTAACGAGAGCCCTACTCTGCTCATGTCGGCGGCGTTCCAGTGTTTTTGTCACGTGCAGCGCATGGATGTTTCTGCTCTGCTGATCTCATTTCGTTTTGTCGTGTGTGTGATTATCGTTCTGTACCCATTTTCTCGCATGTGTGCCGATTTTGTCAGTTTTAGATTTTCTTTTCAAGCGATTCGATCGTTCACCCGATCTGTATCAGGTGGGCAAGTGCCACGCAGCTGAGCTGGCAGCAGGCAGAAACTGTTGCTTGGCGTGGCATGTGAGGATCAGACAGTGCCACACGAAACTTTCAGTGCGAATCAAGAACTTCGCAATTCACACCAATGCGTGCTGCAGATGTTTTTACAGTGAATCAGCATCAAAGTCGCCTATTCTTTACAAGACATTAGCGATAACTTACATGTGACGAGATTTTGTCTTCAGAAATCTCGTAATCACGCAACCATTTCCTCAGCGTAACTGGAAGATATTCTCGACGAACGAGTGTATTTGGATGTCCCAGCTGTCGAAGTGAGCGTTGCTCACGTCCTGACACTCCATTGCCATCTCGGAAGTGGGCATATCGGAAGGAAACTTCCAGGAAACTTTGCTCAGATAAGCGCGCAGAGTGTACCCCCGATACAAGTATGAGGCTCAGCCTACCCTAGTAAAATTAGGCTGAAATTTCAGACAACTCATAAGAAAAAACTCTGGAAAATCAGACAAGGTACATAAATAAATCCTTTGAGTTCAGACTTGGTACAAAAAAAAAGTCTGAACGGACTCTGATTCAGACTCCAAAGTCTGATATCTAGGGCACTGCTTTGAACTGTACCCTAGTTGTTCCCAAAAGACTCTTCAGGGATGGTGGTGAAAAGTGTCCCAAAAGTCTCCCGCGGGATGGTTTTGGGACGTTTTTGGGAGCTGGGATTTTTGAGATGATAGCCTTCATGGAACCCTTGGGATATCGTGAATATGTTTGGTGATCGCCCCGACAAGGGCTGTGAAATTGGTACTACCGTACCTAGCCTTAGAACTTTATCAGCGGCTTAAAACAGGCGCCGTCTTCCATACCAAAATTATATGGTCAATATTGGTAGGTGTTCGGATATACAGACCGGTTGTTTTGGGCTGCCTTGAGAATAAACTATGACTGGCTGACAAATTGTTGATGACAAGCCTGATCCAGCACACATTGATCGAATGCTGGTCTGATATGGAATATAGATATACATCTACTTTGGAGGCCGAATGGAACCCAATCCTCCACAATGAAAAGCCCATGGAACAAAGAGGCATAGAGAACTTAATTGCTTTGCCGAAACGTGGTAGCTGATATATGGTAGCATTGTACAAGGCAAAAGAGCTGGAACAACACACCCGCGCAATGTGCGGGGCAAAAACGGTCGAAACTAGGCATTGCAACGGATGCCATGCCAGCCTGGAACCAAAAAACTCCTTGCCTTCTACATGATGCTACAGCCTACAGTTCCTGTATCCTGACATAAAATCCGCAGGCACTGACCTGGGAACTCTTGCACACACCCCCTGAAGAATGCACCTTTTAAGGGAATGGGGGCCCCAGCCGTGGCTCCAACCAAAGGCGGCATCGGCACCTCCGTCCTCTACTGCTCTATGAATACGTGGGACCATACCACACCATGTGGGGAATGGGTTGTGTACGGTGCCAGAATGGAACCTACGCAATGCTTTCATATCCACTGCACACTGCACCCACTCAGTGGAGCAGGCTGTTCTTACCTGCACACTGCACCCAATGTTCTTACCTGCGCACTGCCCTCATGTGCACTGCACTGCACTATTGCCCCTGTGAGTTCTTCTGCTGACCCTGTCACTTCTGACCGTCCTGCTGCCTATGCCATGCCCCCGCAGCAATGCACTCACTACTTCAGTCACCACTCAGTGCCCATTCTTCCTTCCGAGACCAGGCAGCACCTGATTGGAGGCACCACTTCAGTCACCACTTCAAAATGGCAAATCTTCATTATCCTTGGCCGGTACCTGCTCCCTCTCCATACGAACTCTGCTCCAGACACACTCTGCCTCGCTGCTCCTCCCATCCCAGCTTGCACGCACCTCAGAGCATGGCGACAGGCCTGCCACTCCTGAAATGAACTACGGCATGAGAGACCTATTGATGCTGCCTACTCCTGGTTCTCTTTTTGTTCCCGATCCTGGCCGCGCTGCTGCTGCTGCTGCTGTTGCTGCTGCTGCTGCTGCTGCTGCTGCTGCTGCTGCTGCTGCTGCTGCTGCTGCTGCTGCTGCTGCTGCTGCTGCTGCTGCTGCTGCTGCTGCTGCTGCTGCTGCTGCTGCTGCTGCTGCTGCTGCTGCTGCTGCTGCTGCTGCTGCTGCTGCTGCTGCTGCTGCTGCTGCTGCTGCTGCTGCTGCTGCTGCTGCTGCTGCTGCTGCTGCTGCTGCTGCTGCTGCTGCTGCTGCTGCTGCTGCTGCTCCTGCTGCTGTTGCTGTTGCTGCTGCAGTTGCAAATGCTGCAGTTGCTGCAGCTGCTGCAGCTGGTGGTGTTGAAACTGCCTCTGCGCAGACTGCCACTGCTGTAGCTGCTGGACCCTCTGTAGCTGCTCCTTCTGCTGCCTCGCCAACACCTCGTGCTGCTGCTGCAGCAGATGTTGCTGGTGCGGCTGCTGTTGCAGCGACTGCTGCTGTGGCTGCTGCTGCGGCTGCTGTTGCAGCGACTGCTGCTGCGGCTGCTGTTGCAGAGACTGCTGCTGCTGCCCCTGTTGATGCAGTAGATGCTGTAGCAGGCGCTCCTGCTCCAACTCCTGAAGTTGCACTGCTTCTTGCTGCTGCTGCTGCCGAGCTTCCTCCGCTATTACTCCAGTCGGTGCCAGTTTGTGCTGCAGTTCCATCAATCGCTCCATGTGAGGCTGGAGTGCCCACTGCTGCTCCTGCTCCGCCTGCTGCTGCTGCTCTTGCCGCTCACGCTGTTGTTGTTGCTGCTCCTGCTGCTGTTGCTGCTGCCCCTGCTGCTCCTGCTGCTGCTGCTGCTGCTGCTGCTGCTGCTGCTGCTGCTGCTGCTGCTGCTGCTGCTGCTGCTGCTGCTGCTGCTGCTGCTGCTGCTGCTGCTGCTGCTGCTGCTGCTGCTGCTGCTGCTGCTGCTGCTGCTGCTGCTCCTGCTGCTCCTGCTGCTCCTCCTGCTGCCTCTGAAGCTGCTGATGCAAAATCTGCTGCTGCCAAAGCACCTGAAGCTGCACCAACTCTTTTCTGCTCCACTCTTCCTCCTGCTGTTTCTGCCGTTGTTGCTCCTCCTCCTCCTCTTGCCGCCGCTTTTGCTGTTTCTGTTGCTCCTCCTGCTGCCTTGGATTCTGCATCTGCTGCTGCCGCCGCCGCTGCTCCTGCTCTCGCTTCTCCTGCTGCAAGAGTATCACCGTCTTGAGCTCTTCCGTCCACTCCCCCCCCATTATCCACCCACCTGCAGTCTCTCCTTCCCCTTCACCCCACAAGCTCTCTTCACTCCTGTCAAGTTCTTCGCCTGGTTGATTCCGCCTCACTCCCAACGTACCCACAATGTAACCCTCCTCCAAAACTTGGTCAAACCCATCTTTACCTCTAGAGCCTCCTAGTCCGACTGTTGCTGATTCTTTTGGCAGCTGCTGCTGCTGCTGCTGCTGCTGCTGCTGCTGCTGCTGCTGCTGCTGCTGCTGCTGCTGACGCTCCTGCTGCTCCTGCTGCCACACTACCTCCCGTTCATGCTGTGCCTGAAGCGCGGCTAGATTCATCAAAAGCAGAGACTCATGTGCCTTGGCACCTGCAACGACGTGTGGTGAGGGCGATTTCTCAGTCGCCTCAAAGGGCGATTTCTCAAAAGGCCTTCCGTCACCACTTGAGATGGCGTGTGCTGCTCGCCCTGTGAGTGCCGTGCCTGACTGGTGCTGTGCTGCTGCCTGTTGTTGCGCTGCTGCCTGTTGTTGCGCTGCTGCCTGTTGTTGTGCTGCTGCCTGTTGTTGCGCTGCTGCCCGGTTCTGAACCTGTGCGAGAAGAGCTGCGAATGAGGGACCTTGAAGAGGGCGACAATGAAGGGAGGGGGCTTGGAAGGAGGGGGCTTGATGGGATGGACCTTGAACCTGTGTTGCTGTCTGCATTATACCGACTGCTGCCTGGTTCTGGGCATGGGCGAGAAGTGCGGCAATGGAGGGATCTTGAGGAGAAGGGGCTTGAAGCGAGGGGTTTTGAAGAAGTGAGGAACGTTCTTGACCGTGCATTGCTGTCTGCATTGCACCAGCTGCTGCTGCTGGGTTGGGTTCAACAGTGGCCGCTGCTTGAGCTTGGACCATTGCTCCTGGCTGCAGCACGGGAGTTCCCTGGGAGAGCGCCAGAAGCAGCTGTGCCTCTCCTGCTCCCAGGCGAGCACTGCAGGGAGGGAAGTTGGGGAAGAAGTTAGGAAACGACAGGTGAGCTAAAAGGGAGGCTATAATCGACCCTGCATGCGCCATTGCTCCTGGTTGCAGCATAGAAGTTCCCTGGGAGAGCGCCAGAAGAGCGCCAGAAGAGCGCCAGAAGAGCACCAGAAGTGCACCAGAAGTGCACCAGAAGTGCACCAGAAGTGCACCAGAAGAGCACCAGAAGTGCACCAGAAGTGCACCAGAAGTGCACCAGAAGTGCACCAGAAGAGCACCAGCAACGGCAGAGGTTTTCTTGCTCACCTTGCACCTCTCTGCGGTAAGATTCCCTGACTCTGAAGCATCTGCTCCGCTTCTCGCTCTGCAATGCGTACACACACACACACACACACACACACACACACACACACACACACACACACACCCACACACACACGCACACACGCACACACACGCACACGCACACACGCAAACACACACACACACACACACACACACACAAAAGACACACGCACACGCACACGCACAACACACATGCACACTCACACGCACATGCACACGCCCACACATACACGCACCCATGGATGCACGAAAGCACGCACACAAGCACACATAAAAGCAACAAGATACCTTTTCAGAATACATTTATAAGCAACACAGGCTATGCAATTCTCCCCCCCCCTCTCCCTCCCTCCCCAAACCAAGCTCAGCAGCGTGTGTACTGTACCAGACATCGCAAGCCCATTGCAGCAGAATCTGTCACGTGAAGTTTACCAAAGCATCACCGTTTCAACCACATTCTTCCCTTCCTTTCCCTCTCCCCCCATCCCACAACCTGCCTCGAGGGTGAATTCACGTGTCCCCCAAGCATCTGCAATTGTGGGGATGGGCTCCCTTCCTGCAGAACTAGAGCTAGAACAAGATCTAGATCTAGAGCTGCACAGGGTGACTTTTGACTTGAATCAATCATAACTTGACTTCCCCTTCCCCTCTTCCCCCTCCTCCCCTCCCCTTTCCCTCCGCGCCCTCTCCTCCCCCCCCCACCCCCCTTTTCTCCTCCCCTATTTCCCCCACCCCCAACCAACCTCGGCGGTGAGTGTTCATATGCCCTCCAAGCGCCTGGGACTGCGCAAATCCCTTCCCGCAGAATCTGCATTCATACAGCAACCCGCCACGGCCGCCACCACTGCCACTGTCGCCCAGCGAGCCTCCTGCCAGCGGCTGTAGCGGGCCGGCCATGCAGAATCCCGGGGCGGCACGGTGGAAATCCGCGGCTGTAGCGGCGTTCAGAGAGAGGGACGCACTCAAGGAGTCGGTGGGATTGACTGACGGCAGTGGTGCTGTGCCCTGCCCTGCCATCCAACCGCCTCTCATCCCTTCTAACCTATTCATTCCCTCATTTGATTCCCCCATTATTCCCCCACTCATCACTCTCCCCAATCCTCCCCCCATCCCTCTCCCCAATCCTCCCATCCCTCCTCCCATCCCTCCCATGCGTCTGTCCATCCCTCCACCCATATCCCAGAGCAACCCTCGTTCCATCTCCCCCACTGACACCCCGCCCTCTATCCGCCCGCCCTCTATCTGCCGCGCCCCTATCTGCCCGCCCTCCCCTCCTTGCCTAAAGCCCGCACTCCCTCCTAATCCCAATGCGTGCAACGTGGTGGCGTTTCCTTCTAGGGCGGTGGTAGCAGCAGCAGCAGCAGCAGCACTTGGGTTGGCAGCAGCGGCAGCTATGGCAGCAGCGGAGTTTTGCTGGAGCAGATGGGCTAATTGAGAGTGCAAGTCACTCCCGTGTCTAAGAACGTCTAGATCAGCAGCATGATTGGTTGATCCTCCTGGAAATCCTTCTCCGCCTGAACCTCCTTCTCCTGCTGCGCCGAAGCTGCTGCCGCCAAAGAACCTTGGAAAAGCAGCAGCGTGACCTGCCACGTGGCCAGCTGATTGGCCTGCCACGTGGCCACCAAAATGGCCAGCCACGTGGCCGCCCAAGTGGCCAGCAGCAGCGGCTTTTACCTCGTCTTCGCTCGGTAGAATCCGCCGCTGCTTGCGCCCGCGCTGCTCGCGGACGCCGCCACCGGCGCTACCTATTGTAGTACTACTATTTCCGCGGAGCCCGCTGCCTTCTCCGCCAGCAACTCCGCTCTCCGCGACCGCCAGATCCAGCCTCCGCGTCAGACGGAGCCCAGACTGGCGGCTCTGCGCGCTGCTGCCGGTGGCGCCGCTGCTGCTGCTGCTGGACGCCGCGCCGGGGATCGTGTTGCCGGAATACGCGCGGGGAAGCTGACCCGGGGAACCCGCCACGGCGAAACGGGCGATTCTTCCCGGAAAAGGCGGAAGATGCGGGGTGCGTGGCGGATCCGGGGTGCGGAAGGGACTCGCTGCCGGAAGAACCGGCGTGGGATCGCTCAGGGAAACCTCAGGGTGTCTTTCAACGGTTTGAATGAAGCGAGGATGATCAGGGTCTCGTTCGGGCGAGCCGTCCATCAGAAGGGACAGTTGGCTTCCGTAGCTTTCAGCGTATTCAGAACTCGGTGATTCGGACTGCATTGTTGAACAGGTTCATCGGGTGGGGGGGGGGGGGCGGGAAATTTTACTCGTGGATGACGACACATGTTGCAGATTCGGGTGTTTCATCCAAATCAGTGGCGCTCCTTTCGCAATACGCATCAACTAGTTACGCCAAGTCGTACTACCGACCTTGCCCCTCCAAAATCGGTGAATTTCAGAAGTAGTATAATTTTAGATCCAGGCCTAGACTCCGAAGAGGCGTGTTTGCCCAGTGGCCAAATCATCGCCCCTAGAGTCGAATAGCCTGACTCCACGTTGCGAAGAGATAGAAAGACAGCCCTTCTATTCCCAATCACGACCTTAACCAGCTTGGAGGAAGCTGGCAAGCAGCCTGTTTCAAAGCTGGCATGTTTGGAGCGCTAGTGGCCAGCAGGGAACTGTGTGGTGCTATGATAGAAACGGGACGGGAATGTGATGGTGGGGCGGGGCCTTTCCCATACAGAGCTTTGCCCTCATTCCTTCCAAAGCAAGCACAGCGCGCGCAACCTCCGTTCCGCTAAAGTTCGCTCCCCGCCACCCACCGATGTACTTGTTGGTGGGCTCGACCGCCTCCCCCCCGTTCTCCGCCATAGCACACTGTGTCTGGGTTTTTCACCATGTCATATGTGAGCTGGCGCGCCAGCTCGCTGTTCACCACCATGTGCCCACTGGTTAGGATTTCTGCTTTGCTGATTGATGTGGAGGGCTTCTGCTTGGTGAAACGTACGCAAATGCTAGAATCAAATTCATCCAGAGCACAATGGAGTTGGAAAATGGAAGTTATGACAGTCTTGTCTACGGCCCTGTTCTGTTGGCGCATTAGCAGTGCTCAGCCCTAAAGAACATTTTCGGAAAGCGCATAACAAGGCTTAAAGCCCACGTCAAGCCTCCCAAATCGTTATTATCTCCCGAACCTCTGGTGCGGGGGTTGTGCGCGCATTATGCGTGCACAAGAACGCTGTACTCTCAGTGCGCTGAGAAAATTCCACGAGCTTGGTTCCACAGGCAAATTTCCCGCATGGCCTGTGCGAGCCCTACACGCTCGTGGAGGGGGGATTGAAGAGGCGCACAACCAGTAACGGGCAGATCCAAACGCCCGTTTTGGGGTATTTGTTCGGTGGAATACTCACCCCAAAAACAATCCAACGGCGAGCCAATAAGACTGACACATCCAGAGCATCAATTCGGGAAATTTTGACTTTGGAAGTGTGCCAGGGCATGGGTGGAGACAAATTTTCGGGCACACAGGAAAAAAAGGTTCGTAGTTTTGTCGATTAGTAAACCCTTCGACGAGGCTGCAGGCCCTTTTCTATTTCGAGGAAAACGCTGCCCGCAGTACCTGTGCGGCAGTTGCGAATGGCCTGTGCGCCAACAGAACAGGGCCTATGTGAATATACAGTAATTTCACTTTCCGTATGTTACAGGCTGCATTCCTCAAACAAGTACACCCTGTTAATAGCCTCAGTCCCACAAACTCAGACCCTCAAGCGAATCAGGAAAAGATCCGATTGCCCCCCACCTCGATATCGATTCATTGTCCAGCTTTGTTCTTGAGATTTGTCCAAAGGGTACAACATTCTTCTGCAGGCTTTGGCTTGAATCACTCCAAAGGCGGCAGCGGGCCAACGAAAGCGCACGAATGGACAAGACAGTCCCCACTTGCATTCTAAATTCCAGGGCAAGAACACAATTTCTGCACGGTATTTCCCTACAATCATCAAGGCTCTCGGTGATATGTTTGGGTTACCCTTCTGAACCCAATCTGTGACCCAACACACACGTGCAGGGTCCCTGGAGTGACATACCCAAGCAATTACTGGTGTGCTGCTATCATACAAGAACGGTTGTGGGGCTTGGGGCTTTGGAAGTGTCTTGTTCCTGAACCCCTGCACACTCAACGCTCAAGAACAGTTTCCACAAAACAAGGAGAGAGGGAGCGGGGAGAGGCGAAGAGAGGGATAGGTGGGTGGGTGGGGGGGAGCGAAAGGGTGGTGGGTGTGGTATGGAGAGACACGGAGTGGAGGTTCACGGCGTGTGCAAAGTGCTGCATGTAGCTCGACGTCGAGCTACGTCGAGGTTTTGGGCAAGGTAGGTGCGCTGAGGGGTGCCATTTCTGTGTTCAAAGTACGCTTTAAAAATTGCTGACGCCAGCATCGCCATTTGTACGGAAATGTGCAATGACGATGGACACAGAAACGGTCAACAAAAGAAAACTTGAGCGAATCTTTACAGTGTTTGCCAGACCACGTTAGACAAATTCACAGATTGGCATGAACTGTAATCTCGAACATTGCGAACATTTTCATTTCGTGATGAGACGTTCGCAGCCAATAGACGCTCTCAAAAAGCATTTGCAATTTCAGGTTTTGGTCCAAATTCAATTCTTCGACAGTCTCAATTCAACTGTTTTTATTAAGGCCAGCATTTGTCCTGAGCGGACAGTTCATCTCCGGCAATGTGTTCAGAGTGTGCCATTCGACGTCGATCGACGTCAGAAACTTGACGTCACTCGACGTCGATCGCCGACGTCAGAACTGCGTCCTAACTACGTCGAAATACTTCACACACGCCATCAGTGGCGAGAACAAAATTCAGGCGACTGCTGCTCACTGGGAATTACATACAGGTAAGTTACTCTTTCCTGCCCTAACATTTCCGGGAATGCCTTCTGTTTGTGGAGGACGAATCCACTAGACAAACACATCCATCCATCCAGCACAGTGCCAAACATTCTGAGATTTTCAGCGACCTTCGGGCCAAACCCAGGGTGAATAAACAGTGTGGGTACGCTGGGCCAACAAGTTGCTGACCAGAACACGGAGAGGTCTGTAAGCGGCGGAAATTATAGTACCCAGAGAATAGCAGGCTAACCGTTTTTCTAACCGAACCATCAAGGTTTGACTCCAGCGCGCTTGGTCCAAACATGCCAGCCCTCAAAATAAGCTTTGATACGGAGCGTGTTCACATGCCAGCCCTCCTCACAATAAAGCGCCAAAGGAACCGACATTTAAAGACTTTTTTCGCTTCCAACGTTTGAAGGTATCGGGATGGGGACTTCGGGTTTCAGGTCCTGAAAATACCTCCGATTATTTAAAAGTGATGCCAGCGTGAGTTGCCTATCACTGCTGCTGAGTATGAGTCGTCGAAAGGAACAAAGAGGTCCAGAGGAACCAACTAGCCGTCGCCAATGTCGGTTTCATGTGAACTGGGTAACCGAAATCTCACTAGGCTGGCTCTGCGTCTCAGGCCAATAAGAAAGGGCGGCCTCGCGTGCGACACGAGGCACTGGGCACGATCTCGTCCTACGGAAAATCGCATCATTCGATACAGACGCATCTGCTTCACAAAAGCAGCAGCAACAGAGGGATCGGAATCGTGCAGGGGCTGGAGCAATTGCGTTCATTCTGTCAAAACCGCATAATTAGTAATCATTTTCTGATTTTTTTATCCCAGGATTCCATTTAAGTAGACGTAAGAAATTCATCAAGCATTGTGGACCTGGTACAGACACATATAACGATATGTTCATTGTCAAAAACTCTCAGCAAAATAATATCAAAATCAAGAATCAACAGTCACCTAAACATCGAAAGATGTGTATACGTTTAATTGGCATCGACTATCAACAGGGTAACTATGCAGTACATTCATCAGAGTTGTACCGTATGGAACGCAATACACGATTTATTGGCGGAAATCGGTGCGGTGTACCAATATGGGAACATGCACCGAGCATACCTAAGGGGAGCGATCCACCACCAGTTCTGTAACGAAGCACAACATTTCCAGAAGTGGGGAAATTGTTGCACGCCAAAAACCTACGTGACAAACAATTTTATCGAGGAGCTCTTTTTTACGTGTTTCTGAGCACACATGGTGCATAGGGCGTTTCGGTTCAGTGGATGAACAAGTTGCTGGGTGGGTAGGGTACATGCTCCACTTCTGTGCTTGACGAACGGGTGTAGTACTGTACAGCCTTCGCAAGTGAATCCTCTCAAGGTTGGAAAAAACGATGCCCAAAGCGTTTTTTCTTTCTTTCTTTCTTTCTTTCTTTCTTTTTCTTTCTTTTCTTTTCCTTTTCTGCGTTCCTCTCCAAAAAATGTGAGATTGGTGCTTTGGTGGTGTGTCCGAAACACTTTAGGGTTTAGGACTGAGTTACGTCAAGCTGAGATAAGAGGTGGCTGGTGCTGGCCTGCCTCCGCTTTGGCCGTTACCTGGTAACATCAGAGACATGATAAGCAGGATTGGAAAAACAAATGCGGGCACATGGGATGGGCAAGAAGAGCATGGATAAGACAAAAAGGTACGAGTTTGTTTGTTATACGTCTAGCAAAACTGCGACAAGCCAAAAGGCAGAATAGGAAAGTCGAGACGGGAGCAGACGAGGGAAAATTATGACGGGGAGGAGATAAAATATTTGATAGCATGGACAGATGAGAAAGAGGAAACCGTAGGTGCTACAGGCAGGCCACGCCATGCCATGCCATGCCACGCCATGCCACGCCATGCCATGCCATGCCATGCCATGCCACGCCACGCCATGCCATGCCATGCCATGCCACGCCATGCCATGCCACGCCATGCCATGCCACGCCATGCCATGCCACGCCATGCCATGCCATGCCATGCCATGCCATGCCATGCCACGCCATGCCATGCCATGCCATGCCATGCCATGCCACGCCACGCACCATGCTGAGAGCTTGAAAGGCTGCCTTCACCGTGTTGTGAGGATGCCTTGAGCCAATCACCTGCTCTTTCACACTCCCCCCCACACACAACCACACACACAAGTGCCACCCACCCGACATCCACCCCAGAATAACACGCACACGCACACACCCACACACCCCCCAGCCCCCCCACACCTCTCCACGCTCTTCCCCCCCACACACACAACCCACACACCCCCACACCCTCTCCCCCCCACCTCCACACACACACATGGAGACACACAGGCAAGACAGAGTAGAAAATTTGAGACACGCACAATCAGATGA